AGATATTTTTGGTGAAACTAAAAGTAAAGCCAATTTTATGATTCTTGATATAGATGGTTTTAGTGCCCCTAAAAAGTGATATCAAAGGCGTGTCCCTGACATAGCCATGTGTATGTGCCTCGATGACATAGTTATAGTGACTCATGGTTGAGCTAATTAGATAGGGGTGTGTTCTGGTAAAGGGAGTTGACTTGGTTAAAAGTGATTACCCTAGAGAAGCATAAATGAATGTGAAACTGTACAAAGAAAAATATATCTGTAATCGACAGAAAACTCAAGAATTCCGGCGAGGCACCGAAGTTCTCTTATTTTCAACCAACCCATGATCCCTACAAAGACCATGCTTACTCAACCCTCCAACCAACTGAACGCCTTATGCTATTTGAGAGTAAATAGAGCATAGAGAGAAGGAAATTCAACGAAAACCTTTATCGGAGCACAACACCAGCGAGACAGAGAGATTCGATCCAGCGGCGTAATGGACAATGCACACTGCTTAAGTGTGACTGACGACTCGGAACACACCACGGTAAGCCTAACAACGTCTTTCTATAATGATTTTCAACGTAGTCACATCACAGATGAGGAGTTTATTTTCGAATAAATGGTGACATAGTGCTTCTCTATTTTAGGTTACATGAATGCCCTCATTGCTTCAAGTGTGAAGGAGAAGTGGAGAGAGACTTATGGTTGTAGGATCTTAAGCGGATGGACGACGAGAAAACGAAGACGGAATGCCTCAGGAAGAGAGAAAAGGCCAATGTGGATCTTACAGTAGAAATTCCGAGTGGTTAGATTGTTAGGAATCACGGATCTCCACAATAGTATTATAATTTCCACTTTGAGTATAAGCTCTGGTGGTTTTTCTTTGGGTTTCCCCAAAAGGCCTCATACCAATGGAGATGTATTTCCTTACTTATAAACTCATGATCATTCCCTAAATTTTCCAATGTGAGACTCCCTCCCAACCATCCTCAACAATCCTCCCATCGAACAAATTACACTATAGAGCCTCCCCTGAGGCCTATAGAGCCCTCGAACAACCTCCCGTTAATCTAGGCTCCTCTCCTTCTCTAGAGCCCTCGAACAAAGTATACCCTTTGTTCGATACTTTGGTCACTTTTGACAACACCTTTGAGGCTTACAATTCTTTGTTTTATATTAGAGGACTCTATTGACACGACTAAGTTTAGGGCATGTCTCTAATACCATGTTAGGAATTACTGATTTCCCCTCTGGTATGATATTGTCTATTTTGAGCATAAGCTCCCATGGCTTTGCTTTTGGCAAGCTCCCATGGCTTTGTTTTTGGCAAGCTCCCATGGCTTTGCTTTTGACTTTCCTACAAGGCCTCATACCAATGGAGATGTATTTCCTTACTTATAAATCCATGATCATTCCCTAAATTAGCCAATGACTCCCTCTGGACAATCCTCTCCTTGAACAAAGTATACTATACACTAAAAGATACACATAGCAGCATGGCGTGGACTACACACAAGGCTTTGCCCCTGTAGCTTGAATGAACACTATACGATTGATACTTGCTCTGGTGGCTCAAAAGAGGTAGATTGTGTTTCAATTGGATGTTAAATCAGCATTTCTTCATGGAGAGTTGGACGAGGAGGTTTATGTGGCACAAACCTCTTGGTTATGTGATCAAGGGGGAAGAGCACAAAGTATATCGCTTGAAAAAGGCTTTATACGGTTTGAAGCAAGCTCCATGTGCGTGGTACAACCGTATTGAAATTTATTTTCTAAATTGGCTTTGAAAAGTGTCCTTATGAACATACTCTGTTTTTCAAAAAGTCATTACAAGGTACTTTCTTGCTTGTATGTCTTTATGTATATGACCTCATATTTACTGGAAACCACGAGGCTTTGTTAAATTCTTTTAAGGAATCCATGATGAAGGTATTTGATATGACTAATCTTGGACGAATGCGATATTTTCTTGGCTTAGAAGTGTCACAACGAGCTTATGGTATTTTCATTTGTCAAAAGAAGTATGCCCACGAGGTATTGAAAAGATTTAATATGGCCAGCAGCAATGCTATATATAATCCTATTGTACCTGGATTTAAATTTGTTACGGATTCTACTAGCTTGTCTGCCAACAACACCTTGTACATGAAAATGGTAGGAAGCTTAATCTACCTGACATCATGTTTTCGGTTAATTTTCTCCCTAGGTACTTGGCTAATCCTACGGAAATTCATTTTCAAGCCATTAATAGAATGTTTTGTTACATAAAAGGGACACCCACATATGATATTTTCTACCAGCAATATGGTAATACTGAGCTTACTATCTACACTAACAATGATTATGAAGGAGATTTGGGGATAGAAAAAGTACATGAGAATGATTATGAAGGAGATTTGGGGAATAGAAAAAGTACATCAGATTGTTCATTTTTGCTAAGTTCAGAAGCTATTTCATGGTCCTAAAAGAAGCAACTCGTAGTCACACTCTCCACTACTGAAGCTGAATTTATTATTGCTGCAACTTGTGCTTGCCAAGCCATATGGTTGAGAAGGATGCTGGAAAAACTCGATTATATCCCAGTATGAGTTACAGTGGTGTACTATGATAATAGGCCCACTATTAAGCTGACCAGAAATCCAGTCTGGCGCGGTCAAAGCAAATACATTGATGTTCGTTTCCACTTCCTCCATGATTTAAGTAAAGATGGAACTATGATGTTACAACATTATCACACTAAAGAGCAAGTGGCTGATATCATGACAATCTTTGACTCTAGTTATGTTTGAGAAACTACGCATGTTGCTTGGTGTCGGTCAAGATCTTGAAGTTTAATCTAAAGACTGCATCATTAGTTAACGGGAGAGTGTTACAAAAGTTTTAGTTGCTATTTTTTAATTTTAGTAATCTTAAATATCAGGTCACTGCTATGGTCTTCTGGGGCATTTTTTGTTTTGACATGATATTCTACTTTCCGTTAGGACTTATTTATCGTTTTCATTAAGCATTGTACTGCCTGTAAATATAGTCATTTTTCACATAATAAACAACTGAATTTTCTTCCTCTTGCAAACTTATCTTCTAATACTGCATTAAATTTATCATTTGGTATCAGAGCCTTATCTCTTTCTGATGCAGCTAAAGATGACTACTGAAGACAGCTTTCTTCAACCAGCAATACCAAAATTTGTTGGTCACTACGATCATTGGAGCATGTTAATGGAGAACTTTCTTCGCTATAAAGAATATTGGCAAGCAGTTGAGTCTGGGATTTCCGCTGTAGCAAATTATGCTATTTACTCAGATGAAGTGAAGAAGAAGGTAGCATATCAGAAATTGAAAGACTTAAGAGCTTAGAACTACCTTTTTCAGGTCATCGATCGCTCAATTCTAGAGACTATTTTAGATAAAGAGACTTTGAAAGAAATTTGGGATTCAATGAAGAAAAAATTTCAAGGAAATACAAAGGTGAAACGAGCACAAATACAGGCTCTCCGCAAGGACTTTGAGACCTTTCATATGAAGGAAGGTGAGGTTGTTTCTGATTTCTTTTCTCGTACTCTCACAATTGCTAATAACATGCATTTTCATGCTGAAAAGATGAGTGATGTTAGCAATATTGAGAAAATCCTGCGCTCCATGATTTCAAAGTTTGATTACATGGCTTGCTCCATTGAAGAATCCAACGATTTGGACATCATGACCATTGTGAATTGCAAAGTAGTCTACTACTTCATAAAGAACGTATGCAATGACATATTGTGGAAGAGCAGGCGTTGAAGCTCGCTCTTGACAGTAGTACAGGGAGAACAAATCGTGGAGGTGGCACATTTCGAGGTAAAGGATGAGGACGTGGGACACCAGGTTTTAACAAAAGTCTTGTTGAGTGTTTTTATTGTCATGACCTTGGTCATTTTTAGTATGAATGTCGCAAGAAGAATGAAGGAAAGAAATCACAACCCATTTTGCTAAAACTTCTGAACCGCTGCTGGCATTGTTGAAGAGATGGTTGAACAAAAGTTGGACTCAACAGTTGTTTGTCTGAAATTAAAGCTCTAGAAGTTGTAATAACAAAAGAATTGCTTTTTATGGCACATGTTGAAAAAGCAACCCACAAACCCCATGATTCTTAGATTCAGGTTGCAACAACCACATGTGCGGATATAAAGAATTCTTTTTAGAACTAAATGAAGGCTTTCACAAATTTGTAAAGCTAGGTGACAACTCCAACATTGGTGTGAGAGGAAAAGGATGCATTCAGCTAAGTTAATATCATCAGGTTATCTCATAAGTATTTTATGTTCTTAAATTGAAAAATAACCTCTTGAGCATTGGTCATCTGAAGGAGAAAGGCTTGACTATCATATTTTGGTGATAACTAAGGTGTATCACCCTAAGAGAGGTCTTATCATTGTCTATAAATAGGATGTTTAACTTTCTTGCCAACATTCAATCTGAGAAGGAGCAACGTTTTCACACTCCTGCACACAATTTGGAGAATCTCTGGCAGTACCGGTATGGTCACCTAAGCTTTGGAGGCCTCAAAGCTCTAAAAAAGAAGCAGATAGTTCATAGCTTGCCTGAACTTGTATGTTCTAATTTATTATGTGAAGATTGTCGGATGGGAAAGCAAAATAGAAGACCATTCCAGAAAGTATGTGGAGAAAATCAAAGCCACTTAAACTTCTCCATTCAGACATATGTGGTCCAATTTCACCTATGTTAAACAGCCACAAAAGGTATATTCTAACCTTTATTGATGATTTGAGCTGCAAATTATGAGTATTTTTCTTAATAGAAAAATCAGAAGCCTTCAAAATGTTCCAACTCATCAAGATCATGAACTTAGAATGATCCAATTCGTTCTGATAAGAGTGATCCTGACGAGTTTTGAAGCCTTAAGGGAGGAAATGTTGGAAAAGTTTTAGTGTTTTATTTAGGAGATTTGGAGGATAGAAAAATTATAAGTTGCGTGACCGGAGCTGTTTCATGATCCCAACGACTTCGAGCAGGTGATGTGTGTGAACGTCAAAGGTGTTGCATTAGGCATAAAGCACATGACGCCTATGAAGATACCCAGAGCTACCGGCTGCATAATCTCGACTACTAGCGTGGCAGGCGTTTCAGGAGGAATGGGTCCACACGCCTACACAACATCCAAACATGCCATTGTCGGCCTCACTAAGAACACTGCCTGCGAACTTGGCCGCTATGGTATACGTGTCAACTGCATTTTGCCGTTTGGAGTTGCCAAGACGATGCTCATGAACGCGTGGAGGGATGACGGAAACGAGTGCATGAACTTCGGGATTCTGTCGCCGGCTGAGGTGGACCAAATGGAGGAGTTCGTTAGGGGTTTGACCAATCTTAAGGACCCCACAATGAGGTCTTTTGGGGAATCCCAAAGCAAAGCCATGAGAGCTTATGCTCAGAGTGGACAATATCATACCATTGGTGTTGAGATATGTGATTCCTAACGGTTACAACAGATTTGAAAATTCATTAAATTTTTTACCAATATAAGCATCTAAAGTGGTTAAATATTGTTATTTAAGATTTTAATTTTATCTATAGTGAGTAAGATCGAGATCATATTCTATTTAAATACAATTAAAAACAAGAGATTAAATTGAAAAGTTAAAAAGATAGAAACCTTTTAAGGTTATCAAGTTTATTATTAATAGATGGTAAGAATTAATCTATAATTTCAAGATTAGAGTGGCATAGGTGGGATGGACGAAGAAAGCCTTGCAATACATCTTTTGTAGAGTTTATAGAGTTAGGCTTATAAACTTCAAAAATTGGATAATTAAACCAACCTGCAAAATCAAGAGCACAATTCTTTTCATGACTTTGATGAAAACACAACAATTCAAATCCAATTCTTCCGTACTAAGATTGAAATAATTATTATAGAGCTGAACTTGACATTTCGCACTCTTCATTAGATTCAAACACGATCTTAAATAGTAAGCTCTATCTTCGTCTAGCCACCTAATTGTAGTCTTCATCTACTCTTGTAACTGAACTGGAACAAAGTCTTGCAAATTTACTACTAACAAGAGGACCACCATTACTCCAAGTGTGCTAGTTTCTATTGCCATTGTTGAATTAAAAACTATTTAGCTTTGAACATTTCCATCAAGAAAACGTAAGTGTAACATAAATAATTTACATGCATATTTATTAAAGGAATTATTCATTTTGGGAGTTGGATAAAGAAGATTTAATTCTACCATAGGAGAGGTTAAAATATAAATGTAATTAAGTTTGTAACCTCCCTCTTACATTTGCACTTTTTGTAATGCTTTAATATATATATATAGGCGTATTAAAAAAAAAAAAAAGTGATTCAGAAAATTTTATAGGCTAATTGTGTTCATGTGTTTTTCTAAAATTAGATCGGTAAAACTAAAATAACTCAAATTTATTGGTGTGGTAAATGAATGGAAGGAATAATTCTAACTAAAATTCATGAATAAAATATATCCTCATAGGAGAAATTTGGGCTTAAATCATTAAATAGTGAATATTTATGAGGACTTTGATTCGTAAGAGTTTGTGAGACAATATTAGAAAATAAATGTAGTGAACATGGATTTTATTCACTAGAGTTTTTAACGGTAACTTTGGAAATTTCTTTGGTTAAATTTTTCGTATATAGTCAAGATTTTAGATGATTCTTGCTCCATTAGATTGGTCTGAATGAATTTTATAGCTTTTGTTAAGGAATCATAAACAATACTTGATGATAACACACTCTTGATTTTGGTGACAAAAACGGAAAGGGAGAAGTTTTCATTCCTGTCTTTGAGAATTCCTTTATCTAATAAATATAAGTGATGGTATAAGGTCTTCTACTTTGTATGAATATTGTTGGAGTGTGATCAAACCGCACATTTATTAGGACTGAAGAAGATTATGGATAAATAAGTGATGGACATTATCTCCATTAATATGATATATTTTAAGTAAAACTGAAAGTATAGTCAATTTTATGATTATGAATATAGATGTACATGTGGGTTGATGGCATAATTATAGTGACTCATAGTTGAACAGGGATGTGTTCTAATAAAGGGAATTAACTTGGTTAAAAGTGATTAGTTTACAAGGGTAAAAAAAAAAAAATGTATACATACTCCGCCAGAAAATTTGAGATTTCCGGCAAGGCACCGGAGAACTTGCTTTTTCAACCAACCCACGACCCCTACAAAGACCACACTCCCTCAACCCAACAACCAACCGAACGCCTCCTGCCGTTTGAGAGTAACAGAGCATAGAGAGAAGGAAATCCTACGAAACCCTTTCATGGAGCACGACGCTGGCGAGATAGAGAGATTCGATCCAATGCACGCTCATAAGTGGCGACCGATGACTCGGAACACACCACGGTAAGCCTAACGATGTCTTTCTATCATGATTTTCAACATAGTCTCATCACCAACGGGGAGGAGTTTATTTTTTAATAAATGGTGACGTCGTGCTTCTCTATTTTAGGTTACACGAATGCCCCAATTTCTTCAGGTGTGAAAGAGAAGTGGAAGGAGACTTAAGGTTACGGGATCTTGAGCGGAGGGACGACAAGAAAACGAAGACGGAAGGCCTCAGGAAGAGAGAGAAAATAGAATAAGCTGTTAGATGAACATACTCTCCACAATGATATGATATTGTCCACTTTGAGCATAAGCTCTCATGGCACACCCTAAATTAGTCGATGTGGGACTTATGGAGTTAGTATTCCTCACTTATAAACCCATGATCACACCCTAAATTAGTCGATGTGGGACTTCCATCATCCAACACCTCACCTCGAACAAAGTGCGCCTCCCCTTAATCGAGGCTCGACTCCTTTAGAGTCTTAGTCATTTTTACGGCCTTCGAGGAGGGGCTTAGCTCATTTTCTTTAAGAGTTCTTTGTTCGATATTTGAGGATTTGAGGATTTACCAATCTATTGGCACGACTAAGTTTAGGGCATGGCTCTGATACCATGTTAGACGAACACGACTCTCCACAATGGTATGATATTGTCCACTTTGAGCATAAGCTCTCATGGCTTTGCTTTGGGCTTCCCCAAAAGGCCTCACGCCAATGGAGTTAGTATTCCTCACTTATAAACCCATGATCACACCCTAAATTAGTCGATGTGGGACTTCCATCATCCAACAGAAGCAAACTGGGACTGTCAGGTGAGGAAGAAGAAATCCATCGAGCTTTGATTTGGTTCGAATATTTGCCAGCATCAACCCACACTCCATCAAACACGCCCGCGGCCCAACCATTCATATACCCCAGTGATGCTAGCGGCCTAGTAGTCCATTAAGTCCAGACGGAAACCACTACCTAGCAACCCATCGGCAAACCCGTGCACCCGTGAGAGTGACCTGATCCGACTCACAACCTGTGCATGTTCCAGCCGCTACACATGCGTAACATGTGTCCTCCCATTGGCTTCAGTAGCTTAGCTCGGCTTCAACTCGACCGGTTGATAACTGGCTATTCAGCTCGAGTTTTGAAGTCCAACATTGTGTCCTAGGTTTTGGACTCTCCCGAAGCTAAATTTGACCTTCTTAAAAGGATTTCAGGTCGGTATAAGCCTGTTTTTTTGGTTTTAAATTAAATTGAGTCAGTAATTTTACTTTTATTAAGGCTATTTAGTGAGTATTCAAATAGGGAAATTCAGGACATAAGTGAGAACGAATTCAAAGGGTAAACATGAAAAGTTTGATTGGAAGGAAAATTTTGGCTAAGGCCAACCATGTAAGTGACCCTACTATTGGCTGGGTCGGAAGACTTGTCTTATGTATAATGACACATGTCTAATGACCCTTGAACGTGTCATATATGTTGATACGATGTACTATGATGACGTAATATGTTATAATTATGTGATTTTCTACGATGTTATGATATTTTATGATGATGTATTATGTTATGATGATGTGATGTATTATGATGCTATGATATCTTATGATGATGATGCATAATGATATGATAACATGAGATGTATGATGATGATATGACATAGTATGATGATAACTCATGTTATGATGATATACATGTATGGGATGCCATGTTGCATTATTATAATGAAGAGTATTATTATAATGAAGAGTTTTTTTGATACAGAACCCCTAAACGATGTTATGAATGATGCTTGTATGAAAACTTAGGCATGTATGTTACATAGGGTAATATGTGAAGGATGTATGGGGTTGTGTCACATGAATTATTGCGGTTGTGATTCTATATTTATGATAATATAGAATATGATTGATGCTGGAAAATAGTAGACTAAAGAATAATGATAGGTTGGTTTTAGAATCATGCTACCTAGAGGACGTGGAAGAGGATGTCGAGGAAGGGGACGACTCCCTATTAAAGGACGAGGTAGAGGTAGAGAGAGTCTAGCTCGTGAAGGCTTCGTAACTCGAAAAGATGTGGCTATGCCGCCTCCAGCAGCTTATGGAAGAGAATTCATGAGGTTAAAAGGGTTCGCGCCGATACTAGTGGACATAGAATTGAAAATGAACGAGAGGTTTATTTTGGGCTTTGATCCAGAAATTCGCCGTACAATGGAAGCTATAGACCCTACCATTTATGAGGCCAACTTAAGAACAACTAAAACTATGGAGAAACCTAGAGATGAGGTACATCGAGAGTCAGTTGTTACTATTGGGAGAAAACAACCGTATAAATCGAGGGACTCACGTCGACAACCACTAACATGTAGACCTCGATATGTGGATATACATCCCCTTGATATGCAGATAGACGCCCTAGAGACTAAGAAGGGGCAAGAGGAAGATCAAAGTGCAATGTATGTGGAAAATCGCATGGGGTAGGTGTATGGTTGGAACTAGAGCATGTTTTTGGTGTGGCGAAGAGGGCCACATTGCTATGAATTGCATGACCAGGGAAACTGAAAAACCCAGTTCATCCACTGGGGCACCGATTGGAGCTGAGAAACCTATGCAGAATCCCTCTCAGGTAAGAGCGTATGCGTCCACTAGCAGGGACATTAGGAAGTCCGACACGATGGTGATAGGTACACTATCAGTCCTAAGACAATATGCTTTAACTTTATTTGATTTTGGCTCTACACATTTCTTTATATCTCTCCCATTTATTAGTCAAGCAGAGTTCGAACTAGAACCCTTATTACAAGTATTAATTTTTAGTACCCCAACAAGAGTAGACCTAGTTGCTAAGGATAGAGTAAATATGAGCAAGTAATAGTAGCGAGACAAACCTTGAACGTAGACTTGATAGTTGTTAGCTGAGAACCATACCAGTATAGATTATTACAAGAGGGAGGTGATATTCTCACCTCCGTTCGGATTCAGTTTTAATTTCAAGGGTGCATGTATTGAAATTGTTTCTAATCTAGTCTCGATGATGAAGGCAAAGAGACTGGTACAACAAGGAGGTTGGGTCATATTAGCAAGTGTCATAGATGTAAAAAAGAAATAGAAGACCTTTGATACAGTACTCATAGTGAACGAATTTTTGAATTTCTTCTCGAAAGATTTACTAGGAATACCCCCTTTCTGAGCCGTAGATTTTGGTATAAAACTTGAGCCAGGAATTGCACCTATTTCTAAAGCCTCTTACAGTATGGCGCAAGCATGATTAAAGGAACTCAAGGGTTAATTACAAGATCTAGTGGACCAATGTTTCATCTTACCTAGCGTATCCCTTTGTAGTGCACCGGTGCTATTTGTTAAGAAGAAGGATAACTTGATGCGTCTGTGCATCGGCTATAGTAAATTAAACCAGAGGACGGTAAAGAATAAGTATTCACTCCATATGTTGAAGATTTGGTCGACCAACTCAGAGAAGCAACAATATCTTCCAAGATAGATCTTTGGTCAGGGTATCACCAGATTAAGATTAAAGAAGGGGATGTGCTGAAAACAACATTTAGAATAAGGTATAACCACTACAAGTTTGTAGTGATGTTGTTTGATCTCACTAATGCTACGACAATATTCATGAAGTTAATGAACCGAGTATTCAAAGAATGTCTCGACACGTTTGTCATTATCTTTATGGACGACAACCTAGTGTACTCAAAGACGGTTCAAGAACACTAACAAAACCTTCGAGTAGTCCTAACAATTTTAAGAGAGAACAAGTTGTATGCCAAATTCTAAGTGTGAATTTTGGTTACGAAAAGTCCCATTTTTAGGACATGTGATATCAAAAGAGGGAATCTCAGTAGACCCCACCAAGCTTGATGCGGTCACTAATTGGGATAGCCCAACCACAGTTACGGAGGTGCGCAATTTTCTGGAGTTAGCAGGATACTATCCGAGGTTTATGCAAGACTTCACTTTTATTGCATCACTGCTCACACAGTTGACAAAAAAGGGTATTCCATTTATACGGAGGCATGTGAATCAAGTTTCCAAGATCTAAAATAGAGGTTAGTGTGAGCTTGAGATAACTCAGACACATCGTAACATATAACCAAAATAAATAAATAAATAAATAATAAATAATAAAAATAATTAATTTTTTTAAACAACCATTCCCCACTTCTCTTCATTCCCTCTCATTCCTTCCCCAATCATCTCTCCTCAACAAACTATACAGAATATCAGTTGGTGCAAAAAGAAAGAGAAAAACAAAGAAAAAATGTCATAGAAAAAATTTAGATCTTTCTAAATGGTTGGAATTATTTAGCTTATGTCAATACTTTTATATGAATTCAAATAAGCAATCACGATTCAACTTTATTATTAATAGATAATAAGAATTCATCTATAATTGCAAGGTTACGGTGACATGGGTGGGATGGACGAAGAAAGCCTTGCAACACATCTTTTGTAGAGATTCATAGGGTTAGGCTTATAAACTTCAAAAATTGGATAATCAAACCAACCCGCAAAATCAAGAGCACAATTCCTTCCCATGACTTTGACGAAAACGCAACAATTCAAGTCCAATTCCTCCTTACTAAGATTGAAGTAATTATTATAGAGTTGCACTTGACATTTTGCACTCTTCATTAGATTCAAGCACGGCCTTAAATAGTAAGCTCTATCTTCATCTAGCCACCTATTCCCATATTGGTGAATTGTAGTCAACATCTGCACTTGTAACTCGAACAAAGCCCTGCAAATTGACGGCTAACAAAAGGACCACCATTGCTCCAAGTGTGCTAGTTTCTTTTGCCATGATTGAATTGAAAACTATTTACCTTACTAAGGTCAAATACATTGCCTATTTATAGAACATTTCAATCAAGAAAGAACATTGGTGTAACATAAATAACTTACATGCATATTTATTATTAAAGGAGTTATTCATTTTGGGAGTTGGGTAAACAAGATTTAATTGCACCGTAGGAGAGAGATTAAAATATAAATCACATTTTGTAACCTTACGTTTGCACTTTTTGCAATGTTTTAATAAGTAGGGGTGTTAAAAAAATTAAACGATTTAAAAAATTCTATCCACCCAACTTAAATTCAAATAACTTGAATTAAATGAAAATATATGAATTGGTCCGTTAATAGATTTTTCTAAAATTAGATTGGATCTAACCAATCAATTTCAATTTTAATTTCAATTTCATTTTCATTTTTATTTTCATTTTAAGAAATATAGAAGTTTATATATCAACT